GGGTGTTCTTCGCTGGTAGCGAAGGGGGTAGCGAGCATTCGCTGGGCATTCGCTATGGTGAGTGGGGTAGCGAATCAAGTTTGAGGCTTCTGTTTGCCTTCACGAGCTTGTTTTCTAGGCGAACAAGTAGCGAGCACTCTCTAGGAGCTCGCTAGGCGAACAGGGTATCGAGTGTGACAGCATGTTGTTTTCTTGTGTGTTCCATTCAATTGTTAATTGCTTGGTTCAATGATGTTAATCCTTATGCATCATTTGAATTAAACATGAATGCATGATGAGTATGATGATGGGTGAAGTATGTATGAGAATATATGTGTATGTTAATGATGTTGTGAATATGTGAGTAATCACCGGGGTAGAATGACAAGGTGTCGTTCCTAGTGTAGTAATCACCAGGGTAGAATAACTGTGGAGTTGTTCCTGGTGGGGTATAAGCGATGTACCCATAATCCAAATGAGGGTTTGCGAAAGTTGATAAGTTTATATGAGTCATATGGCATGTGTATATGATTGTTGTATGAAAGTGTGAGATGTGGCCGTTTGGCAATTATGTGTATAACTGTATGTACTTGTGTGGGGTAATGCGTAATTGAACATTTTTGTGTACATGTGTGCATTTCAAGAGTGTGTAGAGTCATTGTGCGTGTGTAGCATCATGATTGCATTTTTGTGTCTTGATCCCGTGGAGGATCTGCAGAAACCTCGTCTGCCCTTGTGGGGTGTGAGCGATGGTTTATTTTGATCCCTAGGAGGATCTGCAGAAACCTCGTGTGCCCTTGTGGGGTGTGAGTGATGGTTTATTCTTGATCCCGTGGAGGATCTGCAGAAACCTCGTGTGCCCTTGTGGGGTGTGAGCGATGGTTTATTTTGATCCCTAGGAGGATCTGCAGAAACGATCGTGTGCCCTTGTGGGGTGTGAGCGATGGTTTATTCTTGATTCCGTGGAGAATCTGCAGAACGATTGTGTGCCCTTGTGGGGTGTGAGCAATCCTGAAACATCGTGTGCCCATGTGGGGTGTGAGCGATGGGTGAACATCGTAGCCCCGACAAGGAGTTACTTCGGTAATGAGCGATGGTTCCTTTTGGTTCTTCAATTGAACCTGCTGAATGAGTCGGTACCGTATTTGCATCTGCATAGAGTCGTGAGTCGGTCTCTATGAGTTGCATTATCATCTTTATATGATGCATTGGTGAAATAAACATGAATATAGATGTTGGTGTGAATTGGTAGAATGAACATGTTGTGTGTGTGCCTGTGAATTGATGAATGTGTTTAAGTAGGTAAATGTATTGAGGTGAGGAAATGTGGAGTTTATGTATTCGGTATTTGTGCATTTATATATATGATTATATGTATTGTTATTATGATAATATTTCTCACCCTTCTACTGGAATGATGTCCTTCATGACATCGTGCAGGTATCAAGGTGTAGTGCTGCTCGTAGTTGCGGGGTCGCTATTGGTGTAGCTGTTTAGTGATTTTATGTTATTGGGTTGAGTCGTGCTCTGGTCATGTAACACTGGGATCGTTTGGGTTATGTTTCAGATGTATTTTGTGGTGTTGGCCTCAGTGCCTAAGAGATGTTGATTTATGTGATAAATGCAAATATTTCTTTTATGAAAAGTTGTGATATAAATGAATCCGCTGTTACATGCAAAATGAAATTTTGTAAAGTATGATTATTTATTTCAGTGTTATTGAGCATGACAGGTGGTTTTTAAGTAATTTGGAAGTATATGTGTGACACCCTTTGTGAATGCATGTTAATTTTACTCTGATTATGCTTATATTTTCCGTGGGGTTTAGAAGAGTGTTACAGGGTACCTCCCTATTTATAGGTTGAGAGTGCTTGCACATCAAGAAATCTCTAACTAACTTAACTAAACTAAAAACACAAAATAAAGCTAAGTCAAAATTGTGTCGAGATGCACTTCTTTGACATTTCGATAGTTATACTATTTATGCGTGAAACATTTCGACAAAAACAAACTCTATCGAAATGGTGCTTTGACACAAAGGCTTACACTTTCAACAATTTATCTACCTTTTATGAAAGGTTGCAGACTTCCTATCTAATCATATGATAAAAAATCAGGAATATAATACATATCAGGAAGCTTAAATTATGCTGGCAACAGATGGAAAAACGGTGTTTTTGTTTGTATAACTAATGAATCTTTGTCATCCATTTATAAACTAACAAATGTCAAGACATTAGCAATTCATCAATCACATGAAACATCAGTGATCTTCATGAAACTCACATTAACCAATACATTAAAATGTAAATACCACAATGATTTATTTTGATAGTAAAGTGTAGAGTGCTGAAATGCAAACACTGATAATAAAACCACATTGATAATGAAAACATTGCATGAAGTAGAAATTATTCCCTGAGATAAATTGCAAAACAGAGAAATGTCTCAAGGTTATTTCCTTATTGTATCTTCTCTTGTAATTTTTAAAATTATTTTCTTTAGTAGATATTGTTAAATTTTTTAATATTAGTTATATAAGTATAAATGCAACTTTATTATTATTATTATTATTATTGTTATTATTATTATTTAGTGTTATCTATATAATATATTAAATATAATTTAATAAAGTTAATTATTATTATTATTATTATTATTATTTATTACGTGTTATCTATATAATATATTAAATCTTAAGCGGCACATAATAACACGATACATGTTTATATTTCTACTTCATTTATGCCACATCATCTCATAATTATATGTGGCACTTCGAGTCTTGACAAAGACAAAAATTCTCATTTTTAATAAAATAATATGACATGACAACCGCTATTTCAACTATGTATATTTCTTTAAATTTCAAATTTAAAATAGACATGTGAATCTAAAAACTAAAATTAAAACCAAGTTTCCTTTGAAAGCATAAAAATAATGAACACTTAAAATAAATATATTTAATCACAAAATAGTTATAGTAAAAAATGTATTAACCTAATAATTAATTACTAACTTAGATAAATATATTATTTCTATAAATTTTATAGAAAAATATTTATATTTGTCTTGAGATAATTACTAAATTTAATATATATTTTTAATATCGTCACTACAACAAAAGTTGTGTCCAGCCACGTGATTTAGTGAAGTGAAAATCACGTGTCAAAATATAGACAGTTGCGACCTGATTTTCACGTCACTAACATATTTAATATTAAAATAATAAGAAATAAATGTAGCAGATGGTCTGTCAGATTTAAAAATTAAAAAAAAAACATTTGTCACGTGAAAATCATGTTGCAACATGTAAATTAAAAATAATAAATTAAAAGGACAGATCTACTAAGGCGGAAATGGGAAAACTTTTAAAAAATTTGTTGCGAAGTGAATATCACGTCGCAACCATTTAGGAGGGGAAAAATCTGACGCAGAAGTGATGATTGACTGTGCTGCAGGTTGACTGACAAAATCAATATGACCGTTGTAAAATTTGCAACGTGAATATCACGTGCCAAAGTTGTGAAGTGATAATCACTAAAGACATAATGATTGTTGATTTTTCACATATAAGACAATTAAGATTGTAATTTGCTTTTTATTTTTATAATAATTATTATAGTAAATAAAATATATAAAAAAATATATTTTTTTATAATAAACTCTATATTTTAACATCAAAATCACGTAAATAATTTTAAATATCATTCATAACAAATTAAAATAATTTTTCTTTTTAAAATTATTAAAGTAATTAGCATTTAAAATACTTTTATTCGTCCTATTTTAATAATATACATATAAATTTAACAAAAAGAAATAATTTACAACGTATCGTGCAGATTTTAATCTAATCTTTCTTATTGTTAAAAATATTAAAACTCAATGCCAACAACTTCATTCATATTTTCTTAATATTATTAAACTTTTTTACAAACATGGAAAAGATAATTTAACAATTAATTTTATCAGCGAAGAGGAAACAACCTTAATAAAACGTTTATATGCTCTTACCATCCTTATTGATCAAGAATGCTTTGTAATCGTTATACCAACCAAATGAAAAAGTTTTTTAATTCACTGCTATAAAAAGAGTGGAACATGTTTTCCCATACTTTTTAACAATATAAGATTAAATAAAGAGATGTCGACATCACTTTATTTCTTTTTTTTTAAAGAACTTTCTCATAAAATAATTGCTAGGTCCATCTCAAATTGCCAACGAATGCATTCATTCAAGACCTAAAAGCCAAACGAACCCAGGACAAATCGTCGACATATGCATGCTTTCAAACAGAAAAAGCCAAATTAGAGTCCTTTGTTTTTTTATATGACAAATACCAAAACATGAGTCTGACCAAACAATGCTATATATGGACATATATATACAAGGAGCAGGTTTACCAAATTAAGGAGAACAACAAGTACCAAGTTGCAAGATTTTTACCAAAATAATTTTTTAATAGAAAAGGAGATAAATAAGTAAATAAATAATTTATTAAACAATCAACAAATAAAAATTTAACAGCTATTTTTATAAGTCATTTTTTGATTTTTTACGCCTATTAAAAAAACTAATCAATATTATTACTTTTCATACAATAATTTTTCTTTTATCTATAATATCTATTTATTAAATTTATTTTACTTTTTCTTTCTCTAATAATTATTTAAGATAATTTTGATAAAAATACATTTAATACTACTTTGCAAAGAGTGACAATTAAAAATAAATAAAAAATTATTTAAAAAATAACACTTAAAAAAGAACACGGAATAATAATTATTAAACAATCAAATCTTATCATTTATTTTCTTATCAAATCATCAAATACATACCTACTTACAAACCTTTGTAGAAGACATATATAACATTAAACATAACATAGAGTCTCAAATGAGAGGCAATTATTCAACCTCTAAAATGACCTCAAACATAACATAAAAATAGATATTACAAATTCAACATATATATAAACATATCACAATCTTATGATTGTTTGAAGATGCTATAAACCTCAAACAACATCACAATGAAAAACCTCCTTGAGCAACCTATAGAAATCATCATAAGAAGAACCACCTGGATCAGCAGCCTCAACCACTTTCTTCTTCCATTCTTGACATTTCTCTCTCATTTCCTTCCCCTTTTCACCCTTTATCATTTCCACCACAAGCTCAGTCACCTCTTCTCTCTTCACATCATCCTTAATATCCATTCCAATCCCCCAAGTGTTGCAAATAAACCTACAATTCGTCTGTTGCTCCGCGAAGAACGGCCAACCGATCATAGGTTTACCTTCACATATACTCTCGAGCGACGAATTCCAACCGCAATGAGTCAAAAATGCACCGACCGATGAATGACCTAGTACCTCACTCTGAGGACACCAACTTGTTATGTAACCTCTATCCTTGACCTCATCCAAAAACTCTTGTGGCAATGGTGTTGATTTTCCTTTTCCTTTTACCAAATCAGGTCTCTTAATCCACAAAAACGGTAACTTACTGTTTGCTAATCCCCATGCAAACTCCTTCAAGTGTTCTTCACTCATGACGGCTATGCTTCCGTAGTTAACATATATGACTGAGTTAGGTTCCCATTGGTCTAACCATTTGAGACATGTTACATCGTTTTTCCAAAGATTTGAACCGTGGATTTTGAAACCGTTTTCTCTACCAGGAAAATGGTTACCTAGAAACTCAAGTGGACCTATGTTGTATATGTTGGGATTTATGGCCATGAGATAATCAAGAACTTCTTTTTCTAGTTCGTGGACTGTGTTGATTATGACTGAGGATGATAGTTTCATGCATGTTTGAGATTCAAAACCAAAGCAAGTGAAACTTATATCATCTAATGTTGTTGTTCTAACGAAACTTGGAAGATCTCTCATTCGGATATCTTTCATTCCTTCGATCCATTCAAGAGTTTTGTCCAAAGAGCCATCAGTGATATAGCTTTCATCTGAAGAAAAAAAAAACACCAACTTAATAGTCATATATATAAAATATCAAATAAACAAATAGGGACAAAAGTAGTATATGTATTGTTTTCTTCAAATATATTATTAAAACTGACACATTGAAATTCTATTTTTTCAAGAATAGACTAAGATTTGTACAAATGAGAAGAATATACTCTGATTTGTAAGACTCAAGATGATTAATAAGTTTTAAACTTAGATCTCATCTAGATTTATCCTAGGCATTATTTGAAGGCATGTATCTCTCATTTTTGGATATTTGATATAATGTGTTAGTTTGATTAAATGAATATTTTATATTTAATAATTTTGAATAAGTAATTTGATCTATTTGTAAATAGACCAACCAATTAAAAAATCAATAAAATAACATATTATTTTAATATTTAAGATAATACTTAAATATCTGACTTTATATATATATATATATATATATATATATATATATATATATATATATATATATATATATATATATATATATATATATATATATATATATATATATATATATATATATATATATATATATATATATATATATATATATATATATATATATATATATATATATATATATATATATATATATATGAATTTGATCCAATACAAAATTATTTGTATTTAATAGGATTTGAATTTAAGAAATCACAATTTCAAAACCTAAACGTAAGTCTTCAACATTAGATCAATCCCTGAGAGTTAATATATTTAAATAAAAAATAATAATAATATGGTTAATGTTTATATTATTGAAATGATTAACAAATTTATAATTTAATATAAAGTAAATAAAAAATAATATACTGAGCCAGATAGTGTAACTAATATGTGTTAATTGAATTAAAAGTGAGCAAATTACTTTCAATTCATGACAACAATATTTATTTAAATAAGCTATTGATATTTATAAATTAATAAATTTTAAAAAATAAAATAATAATTCCAGTTTTAAATATTTTTTTTTTGTTTTCAACCCTAAAAAAATATATCTTTTAGTCTTTGCAAGCATGCCACTAATTTTTGTTTATTTTTAATTTCTAAAAAGATTAATTCATATTAAACTTAGTGCATTTTATCTGTAAAATATTTAATTTTAATCTTTCATAATAAATATAAAATAAAATCTTAAGGACCATAAGTTAAATTAAAAGTGATATGTTCCTATTTGCACAAACTTAAAACAAAAGACTACAAAGATTAAGAATAAACAAATAAATTTTAAGGGTTGAATTAATGGACGAGCTCAAAAAATATATATTAGTTAAATTAAATAGAGATAAGTGTTGATTGAAGGTTCATTTCCTAACCATTTTTATAATCATTAAAATATGGAACCACAACATACAAGTATAATTTACTATCATTAATTTTATATTGTTATAGTTTTTTTTTACTTCCGAGATCATGTTTTTTAATTAAAAATATATTCTTTAATAAAAAATAAAAATATATAAAAAATAATTATATTGTTAAAAGAACTACAATGAAAACAAGATAAAATCTTAATTTTGAATTATAAAATGATATTAAATTGAAGTGTACGTGGTCAAGATCTTTAATACATTATTATTGAAATATATGTTTCCTAACTTGATTGAGTATATGCAAATGGGTAAGTTATTCATATTTTCATTAATATAATATTCTTGATATTTATAATCAACAATTATTTTATAAAAAAAATTAAAGACTTAAAAACATATTTAAACCTAAAAAATCATTAATCATAGTTTTTCTATAAATTAATTTGATAAACCTAAAAATATTTTTTTTACAATATGTAGCCTAGTATTTTATGCTAAATAGTTTCTAATTTTTTTAAGGACTTTTCTATTTAAAACAAAAAGACAGTCTTGGCCATCTCTCATAGTCTAAGCACACATAATTGAAAATGTTGAATATATAGCCTCCATACACTATTGCATGAATGATTAGACATTTTATACTTATTCTTATTATCATTTAAAGAAATCAAGAAATCTGATTTTTGTTGGAAGATTTCGAGTAAGTCCAATGATTGATAGCATTAGTTATAAGAGTTTAGTTTAGTTGACTAATTTATCAATCTTTTTCTAATTTAGTCATTAAAATGGATCTTTGAGGCTATAACTTTTAAGATGCTTTTTTAGTGATTTAGAGAGTTATTGTAAATTTGTTTATCTAACAAGTTATGTCCGAATATAGTAAACCAAATTGTATAGAAAATGAAATAATAACCTTTGAATGGAAGAATATTTCTTTTGACAAGCTCATCAAATTGCAAGTAACCCAACAAGCCACAAGCAGAAGCAGTCCAAAACTGTTGATCTGCAAGACCCAAATCTTTGGCAACTTTTCTAGCAAAGCCCATGAGTCCATCATACATAATGGAAGTGACTTGAGGAACATTTGCAGAGCTATTAAGTTTCTTAACAAGCTCTTTCAATGGAGCATAACAATGTTTTCTAGTTCCATCACACAATGCAGCAATGCTTTGTGTAGAATCTTTGTCAGATTCGGGCAAACCATCTGGTATAGTTTCGAACTGAAAATCTGGCTCACCTTTCACAAAGTTCTCACCTAGAGAACTAATCAAACGTCTGTGGTTGAACTCGTTGTTCACAAAGGTTATGTGGAAACCAATGCTTCTGAGGATTTTGGCTAGTTGCATGAAAGGGTTTACATGACCTTGTGCTGGGAATGGAACACAAACCACGTGAGGTTTTTGTGGGTAGGACACTACTGTTAACACCATGTTTCTTACGAGCTAGTAGATTAATGGGACTTAAGGTGAAGGAAATATTGTAGGATTTCGTTGTGCAGTTCTTGCGTTCCATAGCTTCTCTTATATAATGCAAAGAATCAACTGTACCAATTTTGGCTCTATTTGATAAACAAACTTTACAGGTGTTAATTCAATATCATAGCCCTCCCAATGATTATAGGGTTTTTATTTAATGACATTTTAATAATGATACAAATTTATGAGCTATTATTTAAATATGATATAATCGTAAAAAATTATAAATTATATACGTCGGTAATTGATTGACGGTGTAAAATTATTTTATATTTAGGACGTATCCTATTTTTTATATTTTAATTAATCTAATTTATATGATGGTTTATTTTCATTTTATAGGAAATATTTAAATATGTAAAATATTAATATATATTTAAACAACTAAAAATTTAATAAATTTATAATTTAATGTAAAATATTATTTATATATTTTCAAATAAATAGATCTCATATATCTTAAACGTTATTGTCTATAGGCCGGTCTTTTAATTATATAATCTTTAATAAAAGTTTTAAGAATTTTTATTTAAAAAAAAAATAGGAGATGTATTAATCTAGGTGTATTCTGTCATATTATATTAACAATTTAAAATGATTTGAATGGTTTAATACATTAGTGATTTTTAATTGGATTATCGTGTAAATTTTTTAAATAGATTGTGTCGGTCCATTAATCTATTTTAAAAAATGTGAAATTTTATTTATTTAATTAGTTTCGGTAGTATATCTTGAACTAATTATTTAATATATTAAATTTTATTATATTTAATTATGTATTATATTAGTTAAATTTAAAAGATTTTTAAGACAATTTACCTTAACATTTTTTAATGAGTAGATAAAAGATTTTCAAAATAAAAGTATGATACGATAAGAAACGACATAGATTAGATTGCATACTTGTAGTTTTGTCTCCTTTATTGCAACTTGTTACATCATGATAATATTTTTTTTTCGAAGTGAAAAACATTCTGTCAAACCGTTTATAAATTGATTTGCTTGAAACAGTATTAACGTTGCTATTTTAAATTATGATCACTTAAAAATTAGTAGTAACTGTTTTTCTGTTAAGCAGGTTCGTATTACTATAACTGTTGATTATTTTTCTTCAACGTTTGTTTACTGTGTTATGCTTAATTTATTTATTTATAATGTGTCAGTTTAATTTAGCGGTGCCAATCTTATTGCCTAATTTTACTTTAAAAAAGGAATACATTGTTCACATTAATTTAGTAACCCTGCAACTTTTTCCCATTATTTTGGTAATTGTGCTACCTGTATGCAATGATGGTCCATGCATACAGTCCTGAAATAGCATAATGTCAGGCTCTCATTTGGTTTCTTGTCTTGCCAAAAAGAGGAGAAGAAAAAAAAAACTCTAATTACTTTTTTTTATATGTTTTGAACGAAAGGATATACCGACAACTTGTCACGGGACAAATTGTCTTTTACTTATTGAAAAAATGCATTGATTAACTATTTGCGATGGAACGTGTTAAATTTTCAAAATAATTGATCAGAAATGGAAAATATAACACAGTAAATCAACCATCAATTTTTAATATGAACGTAGGAAGAATTTGTCTTTTGAGAATTTTTTACTTTATTATTCTAATTTGTAATATTATATATTATAATATCTTAGTTTAAAAAAAATTGACTAGGATGTCCCATTTTTCCTACATGCTCGTCCACTCAAGTGGCGAGATGTTATTTTAGTATAGGTGCTCGCCCATTCAAATGACGAGCACGTGTTGCATTCGTTTCTTTTTTATTTTTCATATTTATGTTATATTTAATTAATTAAAAAAATAATTTTAAATATTAAAAACTTATTATATTAATTTAATTATGATATTAATGTTAAATATTTAAAATTATTTTTAAAATAATAATTTTTTAATATTTAAAATTATTTTTTTAATTAATTAAACATAACGTAAATACGAAGAAAAAAACGACTGAAACACGTGCTCGCCACTTGAGTGGGCGAGAACCCACACTAAAATAACACCAGCATAAGCTCGCCACTTGAGTGGACGAGCATGTATTGAAAATGGGGCATCCTGGTCAATTTTTTTCAAACTAGGGTACTATGGTATATAGTATTTCAGACTAGGGTAATGCAGTAAAAAATTTGTCTTTTGAACTCTGGGTTTGAACTAAGTGTCGGTGACCAGAATCGTATTTCATTTTCCTTTTTTTTATCATGCTAGTTTAATCTTTCATGGATCTTTGTTCACTTTTTTTTCCCTCAAGATTGTTGATACTCAAGAACAATCCAAGATTCCAACACAATTTAGAAGAAGACCTTTATCCAAGCTCTCAATAGAGTGTGTGATATTTCCACTTCTCAGCTTCCACAAGCTATCATCAATGGTGAGTTACAAGATTGAAAAAATAATCTTCATGGTAGAATTCTTTGGCATCTGAGTGCAATGTCGCTTACGGTTTCTGCGCTCTGTTCTAAGCTTGTAAAAATTTGGAATGATGTGAAAAACTGGAGAGTTCTCTCGCTTGGCAAAGGCTATTAAAAATTCACTTTTGCTAGCGCGGAGGACATGAGATGCGTTAGAGCATCAGGTACTTTGAATCTTAACCCTGGATCTCTGAAATTTTCCACCTACTCCAAGGATTTCATTCTTTCTACACAGAATAACACCTCTTCTCAGGTTTGGGTCAGATTCTTTGGTCTTTCGTAGGAGTATTGGAGGCCTCAAATTCTTTTTACTATTACTAGTTATGTTAGTACTCCTATTTGTATAGACACATTTGTTTCTAAGCCTAGAATTGATCGCACATTTTGGCATTTCGTTAGAGTTCTTGTTGATCTGGATATCGCCAGCCCCTAAGCTATAATGTGTTGGTTAAGAGAGAGGGATTTGCTTTTTTTTTTGTTGCAGATATTGAATAAGAAAATATATCGGATTATTGTTCACATTGCAGGAGATTGGGTCACTGTGTGCAGAACTGTAAGGTTTTAAACAAATATCTGCGCAGTTCTTCCTTTGTGCAGAAAGAAACCACTAATAAAAGAAATATAGTTATGATCAATTATGTCTTAGATGTTGATAAAGTTGATACACATGTTGTGGTTTCATACAATGAACAGTCTGCTATTCCAGAGGTTCCTCGGGCTCCTCGGGCTTCTTTCGAGAAACTAAATCGGTGAGACTGAATCCCTCAGTAATCCCCAAGAGGAAGATGAGAATGAAACTAATGCAGTCATAACAAATATTGAGTATTCTTAGGATGCATTGACAAGACTTTATGGTCCCTCAGCTTCTCAGCAGTTACAATTGTCAGTGTCATATCATCCTTAAAGGCAACCAGTCATGTCTAAGACGTCATACCAGAAACCCTGGATTGCTCTACGTGCAAATCAATGAACCAATGGTCGAGGATATTAGAATCCACATCAGAATCAGCATAGGCCTCGAAAGAAGGAATGCTCATCTTTATCCAATTCTTATGTCGTACAGTCAACTTCTGTCGCATCTGGTCCGAAATTCACTGGTAGAGCCCAAAGCTCTCAAGCCTTTGCAAGAACCATATCCGCATGGGTACGATCCCAACGTGCATTGTGGATATCATGTTGGGTCAATGGCGCATTTAACTGAAGATTACAAAACTTTTCAAGTCAAGGTGCAACAGTTGATTGACAAGAAGTACATATCCTTTTCAGAAGGAAATTTGGTTGTACACGTCAGCTTCTCGCCCAAATGAGTTCCAAGACTTTAAGAGGCATATCCCGAAGCATGTGGTTTAGACAGGAAGACGTCCTTAACACTGGAAACTATTGGATCATTTTTATCATTTACATTTGTAATTTCTTTATGTTAAATGCTACTTGTTTTTAAACATTGTTATTTTGAATGGTAATATTAATGATGTGATCATGCATCTTCTGAATTAATCATGTCGCATTTGCTCATTTTTTTCACTTATATAAAAAAAAAATTATCCATATACCTCTCGTCCATTTTCTTTACCAAATTGTTGTTTAACAAAGATTAGAGGGAGGATGACGAATACTAAATACCAATAATTGTTGATGGTAAGCTTTTAGATAAAATCATGCTAATGATGTACATACATTGTTTCACAATCCCCAAACACTGGAGAGATAAGGAGTTAGTCCCTAGTAAACCACTTCGAGCTGAGAAGCAGGAGTTTCCTTTGGATTTTTAAACCCTTATGCTTAACCTGGGGCATGGGTAGTGTTCAGTTAATCTGATGACACATTCAAATTAGAAGATGAAACATCCCACCGGAGGATCAATCATGTGCTACTCTTTGCACACATCCTAACGTGTCGAAGAAACCATGAAAAATGCAAAGCTATGGCGTTTGTCCCTCTAAGAACATTGACTTGGCAGTCACAATCTTCTAAAAAATCGAGAAAATAATTTTATAAATAATTCATATGCATCAGTCATGTCGCTCCGCTCATGCATAGATCCATGCATATCATGCCACTCGTCGAGCCTAACCTTCCCACTTGAATTTGACATCATCAAAGCCTTGTAACACAAGATTTGACATCAAAGCCTAACTTAGTTTGGATATTCAAAGTCCAGTTCCCGTCTGGAAAATCATTTGAAAGTCCAATTCCCGTTTGGAAAACCATTTCAAAGTCCAATTCTCGTCTGTAAAATCTTTTAAAGCCCAATTCTCATTTGGAAAACAATTTGAAAGCCCAATTCCCATCTGAAAAATCATTTCAAAGCCCAATTCCCACCTGGAAAATCATTTCAAGGTCCAGTTCCCGTATGACACATCATTTCAAGGTCCAACTCTCGACTGGCAAACCATTTTAAGGTCCAGTTCTCATCTGGAAAATCATTTCAAAGTCCAATTCTCGTCTCGAAAATCCTTTAAAGTCCATTTCTCATCTAGAAAATACCCTTTCTCACCAACTCTCGCCTGGTAATCCATCCTCCAATCCAGTT